GTGACGAGGTCTCCCTCAATCTCATCTTCTCTAGGCTAAACAGCCCCAGATCCCTCCGCCTTTCCTCATACGACTTGTGTTCTAAGCCCTTTACTAGCTTGGCAGCCCAACTCTGTACCCTCTCCAGCACCTCAATGTCCCTCCTGTAATGAAGGGCCCAAAACTGGACACAGGACTCGAGGTGAGGCCTCACCAAAGCTGAGTAGAGGGGCATGATCATCTCCCTACTCCTGCTGACAACCCATTCCCGATCCAGCCAGGATGCCATTGGCCTTCTTGGCCACCTGGGCACACTGTTGGCTCATGTTCAGCTGGCCATCTGTTAACACCCCCAGGTCCCTCTCAGCCTGGCAGCTCTCCAGTCACTCCTCCCCAGGCCTGCAGCGCTGCTGGGGATGTCATGGCTGAAGTGCAGGACCCGGCATTTGGCCTTATTGAATTCCATGGAGTTGGCCTTGGCCCAGTGATCCAACCTATCCAGGTCTCTCTGGAGAGCCTCCCTACCCTCAAGCAGATCAACACTTCCACCCAGCTCGGTGCCATCTGCAAACTTACTGAGGGTGCACTCCGTCGCCTAGTCCAGATCATTAATAAACATGTTAAACACGAGTAGCCCCAGTACTGAGCCCTGGGGGACAGCACTTGTGACCGGCCACCAACTGGATTTAACTCCACTGACCACTGCTCTTTGCACTCAGCCATCTAACCAGTTTTTCACCCAGGAAAGCATATGTCCATGCAAGTCAACACCACTAAGTTTCTCTAGGAGAATGCTGTGGGCAACAGTGTCAAATGCCTTACTAAAGTCAAGGTAGACGACATCCACAGCCTTTCCTTCATCCAGCAAGTGGGTCACCCAGTCACAGAAAGAGATCAGGTTTGTTAAACAGGATCCGCCCTCCATAAACCCATGATGGAGGGTCTGATCACCTGGTTGTCCTGCATGTGCTGCATAATGGAACTCAGGATGATCTGCTCCATCAGCTTCCCTGGGACTGAAGTTAACCTGACAGGCCTCTGATTTCCCAGGTCATCCTTCCTTCCCTTCTTATAGATGGGTGTTATATTGGCTGACTTCCAATCAGATGGGACATCCTCCGTCAGCCAGGACTGCTGATAAATGATGGACGGTAGCCTGGTGAGCACCCCTGCCAGTTCTCTCAGGACTCTAGGATGTACCCATCTGGCCTCATAGATTTTTGGACATCCACATGGAGCAGTAGGTCCCTGGCCATCTCCTCCCAGATTATGAGGTGGACATTTTGCTCCTGGCTCCCTGTCTCTTGGCTTTGGGGGCTGGCTTTGCTCAGTACAGGTGTTTCTATTACTAAAGACTGAGGCAAAGAAGGCATTGAGCACCTCAGCCTTGCAGTGGATGAAGGCTCTCCCTGGTCTTTCATTATTAATGTATTTATAGAAGCTGTTCTTGCTGTCCTTTAATTTCAAAGACATATTAATTTCTAGCTGGGCTTTGGACCTTCTAATTATCTCCCTGCATGACCTAGCAATATCCTTGTACTCATTTCTTCCAGAGACCATAAACTTTCCTTTTTTCCCTGATTTTGAGCCAAATGTCTCTATTTAGCTAGTTTGGTCTTCTGTGCCGCCAGCTCGTCCTAAGGCACATGGGGATGGCCTGCTCCTTTGCCTTTAAGATTTCCTCCTTAAAGACTGCCTAGTCTTTCTAGACTCCTATACCCTTCAAAACTGACTCCCAAGGGATTCTATCAAGTAACCTCCCAAACAAATCAATCCGCCCTTCAGAAGTTCCAAGTGGCAGTTTTGCTGTCCCCCCTCCTAACATTTCAGATGGAGAACTCTTCCTCCAAAGTACGCACAGACTGACTCATATGTGGTCTGACAGGCCCTGCGCAAATTTGGCTTCTACAGCACTTCCATCCAGCCCCAGGACCTTTTCCTTGAGAGAAATATGAAACACATCTTCAAGCAAAAAAAGCCCATCACCTAGCAGCTGAATACCTTCTACTCTGTACACACATCACCACCAGCACACTGCCGCAGCTGCAGCATCAGCAGAGATCATGGCTGGGGCACACACGTCCTAAAATCAGGTTTAGTTTCTCAGCCCCTCAGCTCATCATGACTAGGTAATACTAAAACATGTTGCCCACTATTTTACCCTACCAAATATACTGCCTGTATCAGAAATGGTGTGACCAGCAGGAGGAGGGAGGTGATCGTGCCCCTGTACTCGGCACTTGTGAGACCGCACCTCAAGTACTGTGTCCCGTTTTGGTCACCACAGTATAAGAAGGACATAGAGGTGCTGGAGCAGGTGCAGAGAAGGGCAACAAGGCTTGTGAGAGGTCTGGAAAACATGCCCTATGAAGAGCGGCTGAGGGAACTGGGTTTGTTTAGTCTGGAGAAGAGGAGGCTGAGAGGAGACCTTATTGCCCTCTACAACTAACAACTACCTAAAAGGATGGTGTGGTGAGGCTGGTGCTGGTCTCTTCTCTCTAATGACTAATGACAGGACAAGGGGAAATGGTCTCAAGTTGCGTCAGGGTAAGTTTAGATTGGATATTCGGAGGAAGTTCTTTACTGAACAAGTGGTGAGGCACTGGAACAGGCTGCCCAGGGAGGTGGGGGAGTCACCAACCCTGGAGGTGTTTAAAAAAAAAAAGTAGATCTAGCACTTGAGGCTATGGTGTAGTGGTTAGGTATGCTGGGATGAAGGTTGGACTAGATGATCTTCAGAGGTCCCTTCCAACCCCTAACATTCTGTGATTCTGTGATACTAACCACAAAATACTGGTTTTAAATACTTTTATGTCCTTGACTACAGTATTGTGTGCTGTTCTGGGCCCCTCACTGCAAGAAAGACATTGAGGTGCTGGAGCGGGTCCAGAGGAGAGCAACGAGGCTGGGGAAGGGACTGGAGGAAAAGTCCTGTGAGGAGAGGCTGAGGGAGCTGGGGGTGTTCAGCCTGGAGGAGACAAGACTCAGGGGGCACTTTATCACTCTCTACAACTCCCTGAAGGGAGGTTGTAGCCAGGTGGGGGTCGGGCTCTTCTCCCGGGCAACCAGTGACAGGACGAGGGGGCTTGGCCTGAAACTTCATCAGGGAAGGTTTATGTTGGGTCTTAGGAAACACTTCCTCATGGAGAGGGTGATCAGGCACTGGAATGCACTGCCCAGGGAAGTGATGGAGTCACCGACCCTGGAGGTGTTTAAGGAGAGGCTGGATGTGGCACTTAGCACCATGGTCTGGCCGTTGCGATGCTGTTGAGTCACAGGCTGGACGTGATGATCTCACAGGTCTTTTCCAGCCTCAACAATTCTGTGATTCTGTGTTCTACACACCAGCCTAAAGTTCTCCATTTCCTCTCCCCTGGAAATTTTGCTTTTGAATTTTACCTTTCATTTATTAGCCACTTACCTCTTTTTTCTAGAAATAGGGACAATCTTTCTATTCCTCACACTACACCACATCTACCACAGATCTTCATAACCGGCATCTTCACAGCATCGCCCTTTCATCTTCCTTTTCCTATGAGTACCCCTCTAGGTTTCCAGTCACTTTCACCAACTCTTTTTTAATAGACATGCATTTCTAAAATTACTGAATGAAATCTAACCACTAATTTATCAGTAAAAGCAGCTATTTAAAGATACCATAGCTTCTCTTGAAATACATTAGTTATTAAACTAGCAAGCTGTAAAATGTATACATGGAAATTTTCCACGTATGTATACACGAGAGTAAAAAACCAAAAAAAGTCAAAGGAAGCATACAGAAAATCTTAAGATTTGATTGATAAAATAAAAACACTAAAGGATGAGAGTACTGAAGAAGACATGGGAAATAAGAGAAGTGGAATTCTTCATCTTAACACATGGTGTCACTCGTTCTACACCCATTGCTGACGTGAAAAATCCAACAAAGAAAACACAACAAGAAATCATCTTTGCTACTTGCTGTACCAATTTCAAGCTGTCTTGAAAATATGCACAAAAAAAAAGGCTTGGTGAATGACAAAGTCCTGAGCTAAAAGAAAATAACCCTGGAAGAACAATGAAGCAAGGAGGTAGTGAAAAGAAGCTATGCAGTAGAAAAAACAATTAATTTTGGCACGGGGAAGGGATCCAGACTTGACTTGTTATTAAGAATTCACAGAGCCTTTTAAACAAAATATGCCATTAAGCAAAACAGAGGAGCATACCGTGTCCACAGGAGAGACAAACACTGAAATTACTATCCATACAAGGAGCAAAGAATCCACCTGCCATTTAGTACACACACAAATCCTGAGAATTCCCTGCCACCCTTTTCGAATCACAGATTATAAGAAAATTAAAATGTTAGAAGCTTCATGTAAATATCTGCAATAGAGAAGAGGACTGTACCATATAATCCAATGCTGTCTAGATTCAAACTGGCTGGCTGAAGATGCTCCTTACAGAATTATTAGTGGATTCATGCAGGAGGAATAACCTTAACAATAAATAAAGCACAGTTTCTAAGTTTTAAAACATAGATACTGTCAAGGAGCATCTGCACTAACATAATGAATCATGTATTTTATTTCACAGCATGGCTAACAGAGGGATTCAGATTCACCCT